CCCTAAACCCTAAACCCTAATTCGAGCCGAGGCTTGCCGCCGAACGCATGCACGACGTCTTGAATGAATCGACGCAGGCTCGAGCTCTCAGCTTGAAGCTTCAGGAAGTGGAGTACACGGGTGAGCTGAGCCGCCACTTGATGGACCATGCCAACGTGTTGGAGAAGCACTACCAGTCTCTCCAAAAGGCTTTGAAGGCCAAGACGGAAGAGTCTTGGTACATCAAGTTGTACAGCATCTTGGACGAGCGCCACTCTTGGTTTGAGAAGGCTGAGAATGCTGCAAACTCGATCCTCAAGGGATTGAAGCAGAGCAAGAAGAATAAGGACAAAGCCCCCAAGCGCAAGGCCAAAGGCCCGAAGGCAAAGAAGGCATCTGCCGATAAGTAGGTCCGAAGGATCTGATCTTCATGTCAGCACAGTCTACTCAAGACTGTGAGTTTTGCAATCGCTTGCACTGCACGCAGTGCAACTTCCTAGATGGGGGATGAACACCGTGTAGACTTAAGAGTGCCATAACTCTTGTGCACCCACCGTAGCAGTAGCATAGTTGGGCTTCGAGTCTTTCGAGGGTTCAAAGTGCATATGCGGCTATAGTATAGATGTGTGTGTGTGTGTGTTTGCAAGTAGCGGGCACCCTTTCACTGTGACCTGAAGCGGAGACGCTTCCGTGGTTAGAGCGAGGTTTGAAAAGGCTTTCTGGTTCTTCCTTGGTCACGAACTGCTTCTATAGTAAATACCTATCAATTCAAGTCGGAGCTCCTCCTAAACCCTAGACCCTAAACGAAACCTTAAACCGGAAATCCTTTAGAAGCCTTAACCTGGCATAGTAAATAGTTTCCTGGGGGTTTTGGAGTGCGATTATTGAAGTTATCCCGAAGATATTATTGTCTAAAACCTTTATCTCTTCGCTAGGCGGTGGTCGCAGAAAAAACCTTATTACGACAACAGCTGCCAAACACATTCATCCATTCACTAGGGTCTTCCTAAAGTCGAGAACCCAACTTCAACAGACCTTCATCGTTAACCTCGAGCACCCCGTTACGTTATTATCTTGAACAATCATCATCCACTCACTAGGCTGTAGCTAAAGTCGAAAGCCCCGTCGTGATACCAACTTGAAAAACCTTCTCATCCCTTCAGTCACCCGTCACTATGCCCTGAACCTCAAAGCCTTCACAAACTCAATATGTGGTTAAAGTTGTGCACCCCGTCACTGCGCATCATGGTGTATCAAGTGAGTGAAGCGATGCACCCTAGAATCTGAAACACTCAGCTCCAAACAAGTAAAGGTGCACGAATCACCCTGAACCGGAACACTCTTATGTATTTTGTGGTACATGACATCTGCTTTTGCAAGCTCCCTGAAGCCTGTAAACAAAGTTGCAAACCATCATGTTGCTATTTCGTGTAGACTCTCCAAAGTGATTCTTCTCACTGGTTATAAAGATACTGTGTGTTTTTCTCACAAGGTTTTATCTAATATAACGCTAGAAAAACCAAAGAAGAATTGCAGAGGAGAGGATCGGAATGTTTGTCCGTAGCCCGCAACCTCCAAACTAGTATGCACTTAGCATATAGTTTGTATGTGTTATGTGTGTTCGTATGTTTGTGTGTATATGTCTGCATCAGTGTCGTGTCTTGATATCAAACTTAAATGCGACCTCAAGTGGGTTTCTTGGGTCGAGAACTCGAGAACAGCCCTTAATCTTAAATCTAGACCCGCAACCCTCGGCCCTCCATCCTAATTTAACACTAAACCCTAAACCCTGAACTCTGGTGCCAGGCTCATCGACATCGGCATCTTTCGCCTCAGTCACCCGGAAGCGGGCACGACTGGAAGTCATGCCCTTGAGTAGCACGGCGGAGACTCTTATCGAGAAGGTTGGTCGAGGGGAACTTCATGTTTCTGCTGCTCAAGACATGGCAGCTTCCATGGCAGAGGAAGCTGCGAGCCAGGGTGCTATCATACTAGCTTTGCAAGCGCTCGGGTCACTGGGAGGCGGGCATTCAGGAAATGTTGAACGCGACTGGAACCGTTGGTTGCGAAGCTTGTATGGTTTCAAGCTAGATCCGTACAAGCTCAACTTTGACTTGAAAGTCCCTTGTCCGGTATTTCATTATAACTACAACAAGAGCTACATCAAGACTTGTATTAGGGCATCCGTTTTGGGATCGTTCGTGGTAACCGTTTGCAGGGTTGCCCACAGTGACAAGGACGGTGACACCACCAGCACCAGCAGCAGCAGCACCACCACCACCGCCACCACCACAGCACAACCACCAGGACCATGACAACGCACTGCTGCTACTAAGGGTAGCAACAACAGCAGGACGGGTTGTCTAGTTTTTGGCTGTTGTTCTCAGTATTGCTGGTAATGTACTGGGTAGCATTATTATTATTATTATTATTACTATCACCAATAGTAGAACTACTAATGCTACTCCTGCTCCTGCTGCTGCTGCTGAGCCCCTAAGCTTTGCAAGGTCAATAATGCCCGGGACATCAAGAGTGTGATGGTGTCCTGCCTGTTGCCTCACGAGATTCTACATGCCCTTTCTTGTCAATCGAGCGTTTTCGAAACAGTTGTTATGGGCAACCGAAGTGGTAAAGCAATCAGCGAGTTTTGGGGTCGTATAAAACAGCTGGAGCCGTGGCGAACGCATCCTATTTGGGATGCCTGTTCAGCTGACGATCTCAAGAGCTTGGTCGGCCTGAACATTCATATCGATGGAGCCGAGTTTTACAGAGACGACGAGTTTTGGGTTTACAGCATGTCTTCTGTTTTCGCAGGAAATGGCATGATCTCGGATGTTCTGTTGTACAAGTTTCCCATTGCAATCTTCGCAGAGCGAGATATGGACAAGGAGGTGGAGAAACCCCATCCCACTTCCATTGCGCCCTCTAGCTGTCTAGATGTTCTTTCTGTCTAGCGATGCCCCAGAGTTTGGTCTAGGTTTTTAGGGTTTATGGGTTAAGTTTCGGGATAGCATCTTACTAAATACATCGCCCCATGAAGGTTAAGTCTGCGGTGAACAGACGAGTCGCGAAGCTGGTGGCGTGGAGCTTGGAGTGCGCTCAGCGAGGCGTCGGGCCTCGGACCGGGTTCGAAGGTGAGACTTTTCCAGAAGACTCTTACCGAGCAGCTATGGCAGATAAACCTCTTTGTCAAGGCCGAAAGACCCTGCATTGACAGTTTTGGAACACGTTGTGTGTTGATTTTATAAGGAGTACATCTGCCTTGGGTTCAAGTTCTTTCATTTAAACAAGCAGTGCTCAGGGCCATGTACTTCGGTATGAAAGCGGATCTCAAGGCCAGAAAGGAAGTGAACGAATTCAGGAACTGGTACCAATGCACCCGGAGCCCCGGTTTGGAGAATTCTTTATTGTCTCTAGACCTATGGTAACCACTGATATGTCTTAATTTCCAATCAAACTCGTGGTCTGTAATTCTGGAAACCATCAAGGCTGTGCGAAAGCTGCCTTGCAGAGAAGCCTGCCAAGAAAAACAACCCGGGAATGGATTTTCGCAACCTCCAGGCCGAGGCCCCCTATTTCTACACAAGGCTGAGCCACGAGCAGTTCTTGAAGTTTGACAATGCTCCGCCATGGTCTTGTGTGCCTGGTTTTCGGATCGAGACAGTTTCCTTGGATTTCATGCACAATGTTTATCTGGGTCTGGGGAAAGATGTGGTGTCGAGTTCTTTGGGAATGTTTCTACTGGCCGGTGTATATGACAAGTACGGGAGGACTGCAGAAGAGCAACTCCAGGGAGTCTGGGAGCAGATGCGGTCCGATTGTCATCGGCATGGGTGCCTGACGTAGATTAAAGCCCGTAAACGACAGCTGTAAACTGAACATCCCTGCCCCGATGAACCTGGAAGCAAAAGCATTATGTGACAGATAGCAGGCCAATAGGTGTAACTGGAATTAGAAGTAGTAGCCTTTTTGCCAGCACATTTCCCTGCCATACAACTTTTAAACCCTAAGTCCCTGTAAACCCTAAGCCTGAAGCTCTGAATTCGAAGTCTCTAAATCCTTATAAACCCCAAACCTTAGGCCCTAAACCCTATTAAGCCTAAAACTCTAAACCCCTCAATCCACTGCCACTGTTGGGCATCCCAAATTGCTTAGGATTCACATCTGCAAACCCGGCTTTACGCTTGCGAACACACACCTGGATGGTGAAAGCTACGCTGAGCTTGGAAGTCGCTTCAAAGCAGCGAATGTGAAGAACATGTTATGGTGGCTGTGTCGCGAGACGCGGCGAGTTGCCGATGAACTAACGGACCGCCCAGTGCAAGTGTTGGCTACTCTGTGTTGGGCCTTGCAGCGCTGCATCGAGCTGATGGACTCGGCAGACCTTCTTTTCAACGATGACGATGCTTTTGAGGCTTCACGGTGTTTGTTTTTGTTCCTTGAATGTTACCAGTGGCTTGCTTGCGACGCATGCCAAAAAAAACTTTTGTTCTTCAACCTTCGACCCAAGTGCCATTGCTTGTGGCACACGGCTCACAGCATTCGTGAGCTCAAGATAAACCCGCGAGTATTTCAAAACTTCGACGATGAGAGTTTCTTGGGAAAGATCAAAATGGTCGCTTGTAAATGCCATGGAAAAACCATGACCCACCGTGTCTACGAAAGCTACATACTAGTGCTTGCGCTTTTCGTTGAGCGAATGCGGCGCAATTGCAAATTTGCCTCATAGTGCAGAGTAGTTTTCGGGCAGCACAGGTGTGCGGGGCGCGCCAAGGGTTTCCAGGGTGTTGAAGTAGCAAAAAGTATATACTTCAACACTACCGTCACTGAGCTATAGAAGGTTGTGCAGGCTAGTCGCAACTTTGACGTATAAGTATACATAGCAGGGTTTGTCTCTATATTCGGTATGAATCCCTTTGGCCCTTTATACCACACCGGCCACCCTGAGCCTAATTCGGAAACACTCCGGCCTGGGGAACCCGACACTTCACGACGCTGTCGTCGTCGAGCGATGGCGGACAAGTTGCTGCTCGGGAGGGGCAAGGTTCTGCATAGTTGGAAAGCTCAAAAGACTTATAGGAAATTACTCTAGATAGCAGTTGTATGTAGAAGCTGGGAACTGTACTATATGCTTACATAAATCTTTTGTGCTTCCAAAGATGCGGAACCGGGATTAAGGGTGGCGAGCTGAGGTCTTTAACTTGCGATGGTTGCTGAATCTTATCACTATACACCGTCGAGGTCCCTGAATATCAAACAGGAGTCATGCTCATGGGTTTGAGCAAAATCTCGGGGCAGAAAGGTTTCAGGTATAGGATTGTAGAGAGCTGCCTGAAGATTGCCTTTAGTACACAGCCCCGGTGCATGTCTTCATCAAGCTCCAGCTTCAACTTCCTTTTTAAACCCTAAGCCGCCACCCCGGCAGTCTGAACCCGACAGCATTGTAACTTCGTCCTGAAACCCTAAACCCCGGCCCTAAAGCTTAAGCCCTACCTTGATTTCCCCACTTCTTCCTTGGACCCTAAACTGCACACCCAAAGCTTGCACACACCCTAAAATCCCGAATCTCGGCCCTAAGTTCCTTACATTCGTGTGGCTCAAGTGTTTCATGAACAAATCGCTGCAGCTCAAGTCTGCAAACAAGAAAAAAAGACCCTAAAGCCCCTATGATATGTCAACGTGTGGCTCAAAATGTTTGTATATAGTACTTGGCTCAAGCGTGCTACCCGGAATGATTGGGTCTTGCACGTCGGCTCCCATGTCGCTTCTTTTCGCAAGAAAGCTTTCTCATGACCGTTTCTGCTGCCAAGTTCGTGCATTTGGGGAGAAAGCTATAGTACCAACGCAGCACGCTGCACATGATACACATGTATACAACCCCAACAGACCCAGTTGCACGCGCAACGCAGCACGCTGCGGAGAAAACACGTCTAAACGCAAACAGACCAGGTTGCACACCCAACGCAGCACGTTGCGGGGAAGACAAATGCACAAATATAAACACAAATGCTTTTGCTTCTATATAGCTATAACTCCCTATGTGGTTCCTGCTTCAATTCGGCACAATTTCTTTATGGACTTTACAAGCTGGGAGAAAAGGCAATGTATAAACGCAAACGGACCGGGTTGCATGCCAAACGCAGCACGCTGCGGGGAAAGCACTCAAACGGACCAGGCTGGACGCCCAACGCAGCACGCTATGCTTCAACACAAACAAGCCATGCCGCCCAACGCAGCACGCTGCGGGGAAAACACATCCAAACTCGTGCGCGAGTGGACGTTTCACGCCCAACGCAGCACGCTGCGTGGAAAACACCTAAACGCAAACGAACCAGGTTGGATGCCCGACGCAGCACGTTGCACAGTGGAGGATGCCATGGGGAACAAAATAACCGCACATTGCTTTTGCTTCGATCTATCATTATTCAGTCAAGGCAAATTATACTTCTGTTTGCCATTTCTGTTTTCAAGTCTGCAAAAGCATGAACAAAAGCATGAACAGGGCACACAGCTTGTGAAATGTATTCTACGCCGGGAGAAAATGCACGCCCAAAGCAGAACGCTGCGCGGAAACACACATCTAAACGCAAACGGACCAGGTTGCATACCCAACGCAGCACGTTCCGTAGTGGAGCATGCCGTGGAAAACAATATAAACGCAAATGCTTCTGCTTCGATCTATCATTAACTTATAATTGAAGACGTCCGGTGATTCGAGTTTTCAATGCTGAACACAACACACTTCTTTTATACATTGGATCCTCGCTAGCGGGAAACGCATGTGTAAACGCAAACGGAGCAAGTTGCATGCCCAACGCAGCACGCTGCGGGGAAAGCACCGAAACGGACCAGGTTGGACGCCCAACGCAGCACGCTGCCTCATTGCAAACGGACCATGCACGCCCAACGCACCACGCTGCAGGGAAAACGCACCTAAGCGCATGTTTTTCATTTCCATATATAGCATATATCTCTCCATGTGCAGGCTCTGCAACCTTCGCCAGCCGTGTTTCTGATTGTCAAGCCGTGCAAGCAAGACATGAGCAAGAAGACTGTGCCATGATGGCAGGGAAAATGGAATCTTCTTGCCGTTTCTTCTAGATTTCATCTTACCGATATGAAATGTCATCTGAGGATATGAAGACGCTATACGCACATACGACAGCGCTGATGTACGGACCTCTTCATCTGTACGCATTAATGTCCGCAGGGCGGCGTTGGATTGTCTGGGTATATACATATATATATATATATACACATATATATATATATACACATATATATATGTGTGTGTCAACCTGTATATATATATATATATAGTTCTGTGTACATATACACATATGCATACATATATAAATATGTATAGATAATCGATATATACAGCCTCCTCTTCTGTGTATATATATATATATGTATGTATACGTGTATATATAGATATATTTAAGTATGTGTGTATGTATGCATGCACGTACGTACGTACGTACGTACGTACATACGTATGTATGTATGTGTGTAAGGAAAGTATGTAAGTAATGTATGTATGTATTAATGTATGTATGTATGTATGTATGTATGTATGCATGTATGTATGCATGTATGTATGTATGTATGAATGGGTGTCGACATGGGCATGGGTATTGGCATTGGAGTAAATATAGAAACAGATACAGCAGATGTAGACGTATATAGGTATGGATACAGATACAGATGCGGATATAGATCTAGACATAGTCGCAGATACGGATACATATGCAGATTAAGATAGAAGTTCAAAGCTAGATATGAATACAAAGATGAATATATATACACACATATACATATACACGTAAATGATATTCATACATAAATAAATAAATATATATATATATATATATACATACATACACACGAACACACACATATACATATATATATATATATAACCCTCGCTCTCTCTCTCTCTCTCTGTGGGTGTGTGTGTGTGGTTCCCAAACCCAACAGGCGAAGGAAGTGGCACAATATCCACGCGTATGAAGGTGGAGGGAACTTGAGATCGTTTCATTGGGAAAACTCGCACACCGACGCTTGGCCCAAAAGAGAGCTTGCGAAACAAGCACGCCTCGGAGAGGCGCTCTGAGCCAGCATCGGAGCGCGGCGATGGGGGCTCTCGGTGCGGCCAACCTGTGGCTCCGTCAACCCAAGCTCTAGCATGCTCTAGCTGGAAGTCTCTCGCCTCAAATTTGACCAGCTCTCTGAAGGCTTCCGGCCTCGATCGTCCAGGCCGCCCGTGCCACTGAGGTTTGCTACGCCTTCCTCTCGCAGGGCCTTTACCTGGTCAAGCTATGTCAAGCTCGAGCGCTCCAGGCGGGCCTGGGGACTTGCATCCCCTTCCTCTCGGCGCTAATGTTATGACGCCGGTTGCAACGTTTCACGCTGAACTTGCTTGACGGGCCACTACAACTGGGAATTCGTCTCTGCAATGCTGAAGCATCAACCAGTGGCCCTCAAAGATCGCATGCGGCTCGCTTCTCACAAAAGTCGTATGATTCAACAAATGTGACCCACCGGTAGCTGTAGCTGCCGTGGATGTCACAAGGAGTGGTTCCACACCTCACGCAGCCAAACCCACATGAGTCTTTTTTCCCGCCTGCTGTCGGAGCTCCTTTATCCTTAGCCGTTTTGGTCGAAGCAACGGTTCTCGGGGCTTATTCAGCGGCCGCTGAAGTAGCTTGGAGCGTATTCTAAAATCGCACCTGGCTAGGCCTTCGAAAGTGAAACACAGGAGTGTTGCTTTTTTCAGCTTGGAAGTCTTATAGTTCATCTGTTCGTGCTTGCGGACATATTCTCAAGCGGAACTTAGTAGCATAATCTGAACTGCGCCTGACGTTCGAATCCCGGCCTGGACTTGACACAGCCAAGCAGCTGCTTGTTAAAGTTCGCGCCTGCAGCAGCGACCAAGGCTTTGACCTGACTTCCGCGGCTATTCTGCAAAAAGTTCAAGCAGAACCAACAGCCGAGCTCCTGCTTCTCACGGTTCCGTCTCGAAGATATGGCTAGAGACTTCAAGCCTGACTACACTCTCTAGATGCTACTGTTCCAGTGGTTGTGATGCGTAACTAATAATTCTCCTGAAGAGCTCTTCGGCCTTGCTGTTGCAGTTGTCTGTGAGCCTTTGTGGTCCTTTTCGATTGAGTGCTCGAGCATTCTTGACAATGTCTAGGATCAAGGGTGGCTGTGCCAGGAAAGGGCATAGACAAGTAAACGAATAAATGGAAAAACAACCACAGACTGCCGGCAGACTGCCAGCAGACTTCGTAGATCGTAGTCAATGAAAAGCTTGGAGCCGAAGAAATCCGGCAGCAGCACCCAGTTTCGGAGTCTGACATCACACACATGGTAACGGGAAACTGACTGATTCACTGATGCAACACGATTCTATACTATGCTTTCAGCATAAGTCTTTCCACTCTTGACGACCAATTACAGGGCTGACATGCGAGGCTGACCTACAAGCATCCGCAAAAGCCACCAAGGACATCGACCTTCTGAAGCTCGCCGGTGGCGACCTCGCTGTCGCCGACCTTATGAGCCGAGTCCGAAAAGAAGCGATGAAGCTGAGAATGAATGCCAACACTTTTTGGCTACTATACACACTGCATCTGTGCAGAACCTGTGCCGTAATTACAGCATCATCCACACTCGCTCCGTCCTTTCTGCTCGGCTAGGTCCTTGGATTTACTCTTCTCGATGATCCCAGCCATCCATCCCAATCTAAATCCGCAAGCCTGAGGTACAAGTAGCGTAGCACATCGGAACACGGTGCTTGCGTGTACTGTTAGCCCGTGCCACCGGCTGGCCTGCACTTTCTTGCGGAGCTCTGCTTCGCAGGAGCGCCTCAGAGCTTGCGATCTACCTGCCATGAGAAACTTGCACTGGCAGTCTCTGGGCAGCAGGCTGCGCAAGCTCAGCTCGCAGAGCCTGCACAAGCGATTTGCAGACTTGGTAAACTCAAGCATCACAGGTACACTGCAGATCTTCAGCGCCGTCCTGCAGTATGTATGTTGGAGTGTTGTCTGTGTAGACAAACAACGTCGAAGTGCTTTGATCCTGCTTGTCGAAGTCACTTTCATCGTACTGGTAGCAACTTAGCGCATCTCCCTCAACACGAGCACCCCGGTCGGGCAGTGCCTGCAGCGTCAGTGCAAAAAGAGTAGGGTATGGGCTCCAACCCATATTTTTGAGTCAGTACGAAAGTAAGCAATGATCTCGGATCTGCGAAAACTCGTGATGCTGATGAGCCAAGGTCAATGTCTGGGGTTTCATGTAGTATATGGCTTCCATGTCCCAAGTTTCCAGCCTCGGCATGTTGCTGAACATCCCGCTGCAGCGTAGCCACCTGGATTTGATTCATGCAGTCACTGCCGCAACGACGTTCCAGCCACATCGATTTGTTGAATCTCAAACGCGAGAGTTTGCTGACCGTGGGTCTTGGGTCAGGGAGAGCAAGGGCCGAGTTGGGTGTTCGTCTTGGAGTGGACACTACACCTGCTTGGACCAAGGCTTGCTTTTCGGCTTGAAAGGGAGGATTGCCGGGTTTGCTGCAGAATTCATCGGGAAAGCAACCGTGGGCATCCACGAGACTTGGCGCTGACCCACCCTCAGCTGTCACGTTCGCCGAGTTGGGGCTCGAGCCTTTTCCTGCAGCGTCTGCTGCATGGAGTCAGTCTTGGCCAGTTCAGATGTCAGCCTACGCAAGCAGACAACAGCAAACTTCGCTAATAGTCGGACGCACACGACAGCATGCTTACGTGCTCAACAAGAAACCGCTACGTGCTGGTTTGTCATGCTTGCACGGTAAAAGACAGACAAAGTTGCAAGAATGAGATCTGCGAGCTGAAAATCAGACAAGGCAGGAGGCTTTGTGAGATATTGCTTGACTGAGCTGGTTGACATCCTTCTAACGAAGCCACGCAGCCAATCCTCACATGATGTCACGGTTATTCTAGATGTAGCATCCCGCTTGCCTCCGACGGCTCAATCGAAACTCCGGCACGTCTTCTTGACATATTGTCTTTGTTTCCAGCATCTTGCTGGCAAGACTGCCGCTGTAGCGATCGGGGCCAACCCCCCAGAACTCCATGCAAATCAATTTATTTCGATGACAGAGGCAACTGCTGCAAACTTTCAAAACAAGCTCTAGCGACTCTAGCATCTTTGGAGCGTCCCAGTCCCAGGCGCACCTTGTCTCTGCTGCACGCAGCTGATCGCGCGCCTCCTTTCACAAACTCCATCAACTCTGGAAATCAACTGTTCTATACTTGCACTTCTGACCTGAGTTATCTCTGCATCGGATCAGTGCAAGTGCGTGCCGTCATAGCAACGTAGCGACGGCTTTGAAGAAGTAGGAGACGCTGATTGTGTATGAATACATTTACATGTGTATCCTGAATCTCCCTGCTAAAGGATCAGAGAGCGACGCTGAACGCCCTTGCCTTTTCTCTCCCTCCCTCACTTCTCTTCTTCCACACAGCTAAGAGTGGTCTCAGCAACCCCGCCCCCCCCCCCACCCCACGCGAGCGCGCTGATCTGTTCTCAATCTCTCTGTCTCTTTCTTTCGTTCTTTCGTCGGGGCTGCGGTGAGAGGGGGGACCCTCCCACTCCCACTCCCACTCTCCCTCTCTCTCTCTCTCTCTCTCTCTCGCTGGGCTTTGAACTCCCCCAACAGAAGCGACACTGCCAAACCAACTCTCTCTCTCAGTCAAAGAAAGGGCACTGCACCCTCCCCCGCGCGCAAGCGCGTTCTGGTTCGCTTGGTCTTGGTGTTAAAACTGACTTCGATGAGGGCCACAGGTCTGCGAGCGCGAAACCCCCTGTACGAACGGTTCTAGCGCTCCCCCTCGCCGGTGGTTATTCAACAAGAGCTCGTGGGGACCCGGGCGGCTCAGCTTTTGCAACATAAAACAAGCAGCACATTGATTCATACTAGAACATGCAACAAGTACCTTCGCCGCTGAGCCCCCAGATCAGGAACTCTTGTGACTTCAGACTCCCTCTCTGTTCGTTGCCAAAGAAAGGTAAGGTCCCCCCCGCTTCTTGCACCAGCACACACCTGCAGGTCCTTGCAGGTTCCACCAACATCATGGGGTTCTCGTTCGGTTCTACGAGGGTGGTGGTGGTGTCTGTGCCCTAATAACACCGGAGGGCTATCGCCGGTATCCCTCAACGTCGGCAAAAAGCGGGGCGCCACAGAACGGAGAAGCCTGCTTCCCCGTTGTTATTCGACTGGTGAGTTCGGAAAGGATATCGCCATAGAGCTTGTGGTGTGTGGTGAAGGTTGGCATTAAGAAGCTCTCGTCCAAACATGTCCTAAACTATCTTACACCCCCGATATCATGGAGTTCATCCTGAAAGGTATAGTTGAAACGGGGAATTAGAACCGCCAGGGCCGCCAGGTCGAGTGGGTTGATGAGGCTTTTGTAAGACCACAAACTTACATAGCACGCTTTACCCCATGCCCCATGCCATGACCAGTGCAATCAGCCACACAATCGAACATGTAATCAAGGGAATGAAGTCAGAGTTCCGCACGGGCTACGAGCTGAGCCCCATGACATAAGAATGCAGGTATGCTGGGTTGATCAGACCCATAGCCACTCTTCGCAACCGGACATGTTCATGAGGTTGGCCATGGTTGCCCACATATGCCTCTTTGGCTTGAAAACCGTGCCATGTGTGATGTCTTCCCCTCATGTACAGTGGTTTCCCACGCAAGCCCAAACACACGCAGACAGAGAGAGAGAGAGAGAGAGAGACAGACAGACACACACTCACGCACACACGTACACAAGCACCTCCCTCTCTCACTCTCTCTATCTCTCCTCCTTCGTTCTTGCCGTGGGCGGGTTTCGAAGGGTGGCAGACCCCTCTCCCTCTCTTTCTCGTTCCATCTCCGTCGCTCTCGATCCTTGCTTCGGAAGGCTTTAAAGAACCCATCCGGTATGTCTCAGCCTTTGCAACAAGTATAAGCTGCCTGGTCCACCACGGCCTTCTGGTCAATCTTGGAACTGAGGGCCTGCGAACTCGAATCTTCCGAAACAAGCGAATTCAATGCCCAGCAGCCTGTAGACAAGAGCCACCCATGCACCCCAACACCACCCCAACACCACGGCCCAGACCCCCACTCGCGACAACCTCTTCATGCCTTCCACTGCGCCAACGTAGGAACGCTGCCAGAGTCTGCCTTCCTCTGCAGTGATGCGGAGATCTCCTGACTTTGCGCAAAGATAGAGTTGCGAGCTGCTTTACGTAATATAGGGGCCTTAATAATTAGAATGGGGTTTTGGGCCCATTATACTATATATTTATAATAAGGAACCCCCGAAATAATATTATTGGCAATTATTTAGGCCGCTTTAGGCCCCTATATTAACTAGTGTCACTACGATCTGCAAGCGACGTTCACTTCGGGGTTGTCCATGCCAAAGCCCCCCGAATCCACTGTGGAGGTCCTGCAGCCGCACCAGAGTGCTTACAGCATTCTGCTCGTTCCGCCGAGCTACCTCTACGGCGACAGTCTCGCGCAGGTCCTGCAAACAACTTCCAGCTGTAGTTAGCTTCTAAGAAGCGTACCAAAGAGAAGGAAGCGGGGAGAGGCGCGCTGTTTCTCAAGGGGGAGTCTCTCATGTCTGGTCGGTGATTCCCATGCAGAGAATGCATCCACTCTAGTGACCTTACGTTGGATTGACTACGCGTCGCCAAAGCTTGGGGCTGGCAAACGGGCCTTCCCAACGAGGTCCTGCAACTCCTTGCGTGCCATGACTATGCGGGGGGACTGTTTCAGGAGCATGGACCGCGAATTCAAGAGAACATGGTTTTCAATCCATTGCTCCGCATTCTACTGTCGATGAAACATCCCATGACTCTCTGAAGAAATGCAGAGAATGTCTCCAGGATTTGGGCACCTTCGTCCCACCACAAATCTGGTTAGTGACTCCAGTAGACATGGAGACCCCCGTATTGGGGGAGGAATCTCAAGAAGCATTGAACCATTTTTGACCCGCAGCGCATCCCCGCGATGCCTGCAACCTGAGCTGGTGCTGCTCCGTTGTGTTCTGCAACGATCGCAGAAGAGGGGAGACGTGGCACTCGAAGTACTCCGAGCACAGTCCTGCACGAAAAATCTCTTTCCAGGACTTCAAGGCAAAGTCGCTTCGACTGCTGCATCCATGAATCTCTGACGGCACATCTCGTGCCTCACATCTGCATATTGCTCGCTGTATGCAGGTCAGTGGAGTCGTGCACCATTCGGAGCCTGATGTTGCCAGCCTCAAAATGCTCTAACCTCATGCACCTCGAAGCCTTCCACTCCAAATCTGAAAACACGGCCGACCTCTATGGTCCTCGGACAGCTACACTCAGGTCGACAGTGGTCCGCCTCTCAGTCTCCTCATGGAATGGGTGCAACACGAGGGTCCATCCTATCCCCCAGCCCTCAGGTCGGAGATCTCCTGAACCTACCCCTACGCCCCTTTGACCCCTTTGCACTTCGTCTGTGAACAACAAGGCATAACAAGGCAGGATTCAGCCACAACTGCCACGGTTCTGGAATTCTAGAGTCCGACGCCCCGACAAGCAACGAATCAGTAGCCGGATGATAAGCAGAAAAGCTTACTACAGTATGCGAAGAGATCCAGTCCCCCTGGCGGAAAATCTAAACAAACTAGAAGTTCGTCCCATGGTTGGCATGCGCTGGCAGCTTCAATCCGGCCGAGTGGCCAAAGGCCCAGTGTGACTTGCAGCCACCAGGCAACTTTGAGATCTATTCATCAATGCATTCCTGCCTGTACAAACTTGGTGTAGAACGATGCTGTCTGTTGTTCCAGCCCCGCAACCCAAGACCACACCTCACTGTCAGCATCGCCGTCGCCTCGCAAGTTCACAGCAATTTGTAATCGGTCAGATCTCCACCGTCAATCGGGTGCGGGTGCTTTGACAGCCAAGACGGTTTAGACTCGTTGGGCTGTGCGTGGATCAGCATCACTGGCGACCATCTGCGCAAACTCGATCATATCCCTTCTAGGAGCCGGGTCTTCCTGGCAGTAAACGCCTAGGACCCAGAACGTCGGAGCTAGGCCCACAGAGCCAAATCACCCACTTGCACAGATGTGATCTCTTCATGGAACTTATGTCAGACCCATGATCGAGCAAGGTTCATGAATTCTTGATATAAGGTAGCACTGCTTCCAAGAGGCCAATGAAGTAGCTCATTTCGTGGTCAGGCCGATTGTACCACTCCGTAAGCGTTGCTTTCCCCTCGCGATCCTGGCGCCACGGCACTTTGTGCGGCTAGCCCTGCTCACAGAATGCGGCCAAATCTTGAAGCTTGACTCTGACCCGGTGAAAATGAACTGCATATAGACTCTGGAACTTCTGTCGTTTGCGAAGCCAATGCAAGAATGCCATATGATCCATATGGCTCCATCCACCGCCGGAGAACCATCGGGCACTATGACAAACTATTCGAGAGATCGTGCTCTTCACCAGTCACAATTTGTTTCGAGACATACCAACAAACTAAGCCAATATTCTAGCCCGGGTTGTGCCTTCCCCAAGCGAGCGGTCTTGGCGGCCACAAGAGGCGATGGTTCCGCCTGTGGCACAGTTGGCTCAGCATATTTGTGGATCACGATTCTTGGTGTATCTGTGACAAAGTCCTCTCTGCGAGGTCATGTCATGGCCCTCCTTGCGCACACAGTTTCTGCACCCCAGCGGACTTTCAACTCGCAACAGAGGCGCATGTATTTCATGCCCGTTTTCGCACACTTGCCGTTCTCAAAAGAGCCCTGCCTTTTCAAAGTTACCTGTTTGGCAGCACTGCTGTTTGTGCTGAACGCACCAGGGACTTGCCTCTTGTAGCTATGCAAGATGATGCCGGAACCAATGCTACCACGAACAACTGAAACCATCGCCACCAAATCTGCTCCTACTGCTGACTGGACAAAACCGCCTAGCAAGTGCCTTTCTGCCTATTGTTATGGTTGCCGGTGGCCCGGATTTTCTGTGCTCCAAAAAACATATGCTCGACCAAATGCTTCTATACCGATGAGCGAACACCCAACACACGAACAGAACGCGATCAACACTCTTTCTTTTGCATGCGAGCAGCGAGGCAGACAGAATCATCACTGTAATCGTTTGAACAAGGTTGAGCATGCACATCGTGGGATGTGCAGCACAGTTTATCTCCATTACGCACTCAATGCTGAACATCGACAGACGATCAAGTGCAGCGACGAGGTATCAAAATCACAAAGCCTCTGGGAGCCATGCTGTGCCTTCCGTATGTAACTACCTTTCAGCCTTCGCGAAATGAGCCTCTACAGTACATTACTCTCGCAGCTCGCTCGGGTAAACTTTAAGGCTGAACATTCCCATATGGATGCAACAGCAAGCAGATCCAACGATGCTGTCCTGGAGTATCCTGGAGTGTGCCAGGCGGCATCTTTCGTAGCCAACATCTTTGGCTGCCTGGTGCCACCCAAACGGTGGCACATTGTGGCTGGTACAGCCGAAGGTGTGTCACTCGGAAGAGTGGCTGAAGCGCTTGCAATTCACCTGAAGCCGCTCGAGGACGGCGCGACATTGGCCGGTACGTGGACATGGAGACGTCGGAACACCAACAACCGGGATGATGAAGATGCCGAGGAGGTGGAGCCCCACAAGGGAGGCTGATGCTGCGAAGCGGTGGCTACGCACCCGTCGTGTCTTGACGGCCTGAGTTCATGATGCGATAAACGTGGCTTGTAACTGTTGCCGTTATTCTCAGAGAAGCACGCTGGAGGTATAGCACATGTGAACAGGCCATACAAGGAGTCAAGGAATTGATGAGATTGCCACCCAGGCTTGACTCGAGAGAGCGACCATCACTTTAGGCGGGAGTCGCCCAGGTGTTACGTCATGTTGTTGTTGGCTTGCTTGCACTCGACGTGTACGTCGGGCTGCATGGCTGACAAACACCCGCACGGCGCCTCCCTCGTGAACGACAAGGATGCAGCTGCACAACATGGACGTTGGCGACAAGTCCGGCGAAGCGGTCGAGCGATGGCACGTCCGCGTATCGTTGTCCAGATGCTGAGCTGATTTCTGTACGTTGAGGGATGGCACGGCCAACGCTCGCCACGAGGCATCGTGGCACCCTGGAGCTGCCCATTTCCGCAACGCAACATCTTGGGCTCCCGCTTGGATCTTGTTGGCCCGAGATCGTTCGAGATATCTATGACCTTTTCTCCGGCGATGTGCCGATATTGCCCATTGACAAAGGCAACGGCAAGCCCGAATGCCAAAACAAACGACATGTTGCTCGCCTTGACTTACTGGCTAAACAAGTGCTCAAGACATTCTGCCAAGCTTGCACAACGACCCCAAAACCTGACTGGGTATTTGAGTGCATCAAAGGACGCCACCGTGAGTTGGCCTTTGGCCAGAGTTGAGAACAAAATGTTGCGTCCAGTAGTCATGCTCTTCTCTTCACTGGGCCATGAGGTCATTGCTCAGCATGTGCGATCTCACGGTGTGGAACATGATATCATCATGGACGCCCATGATGCCAAGTTACTGCTGGCTTGCGAGTGTTGTGCAGATGGAGCATGGGAAGCGGAGCAAAACAAAATGCAATGTTTGAGACTGGTCGGACTTTTAGCCAGAATACTGCGATGCTATCGGTATGACTCAAGGGCCGTATGGCAGCGGACATAAACAACTCTACAACATGTATGCTCATGACCGTGGACTGAAATCAAGTGTCATTTACACAATGTGTTTGCTCGTGATGGTTTTCTTACGGTTTCATGCATCTCACCACGTCCGCTTCAAGCGCACAGTGCCGCCACCACTGTTGAACAGTACGGTGCTCTGTGTGCCTAGTGCCTTTGCGACCCGACTAGATCTTGAGCCTGCGGAACGCAGTTCTCACAGAGCGGCTTTGTATGCGGCATGCGCTGTAGCAGAGGTGTGAGTGCATAGGGTGGTCTCTGTGGTGTCAGTCATAGACGGCTTGAAAGCCTCAATGCCTGTGACCGAGTGAGGCTTTCCGCCGGTGAATCGTAGATCGAGGATGGACACATGATGTCCAGACAGAAGTGGCGAAAACTCAGCCTGCGCTCTTCTCCGTCGAAACACTGCAAAGACAACCTATCGAAGAACATGCAGAAGTTCCAATCTAATTTTCGAGAGAGGCGACCCGAGCATGCAAGTTTCACTTACACAGCACCGCTGGTCGTCGACGGACGATCGACTACGGCTACGAAGGATCAAAAGCCGGCAGGCCCCACGGTTGCTGCATAGGCCATGCTATGCCACACTCTAACCGGCTCTAACCCCCATATAGAGGAGCTGCTTTCCTGCTTTCGCCAAATGATCCTCTGCAGTACCAACTCGCCCTATTCAGGCTGCTCTGCTACCGCTTGCAAGGGTCTGCGAATGATCAGGAAAGTCCCCGCCTGCATAAGTGGAGTAGCTGCTGGCGGGGCGAGCTCCTCCGCTACAACTTAGATGCTGCAGCTTCTTTGCAGGGATGACAGAATTGCCGAAGTCTCGAACCGCTATTCAACATGTGACTGTTCCAGGAGTCATTCCACCATGGTGGAGGTTGAAGCGTTTGCTGCTGCTAGCTGTTTGCTGCAACAGTTGCAGGTAGCACGAAACTACTACAGTGACCTTTTTGCGGGCAAGGCATTCGCAAGAATGCGAACATCCGGTCCACAGAGGCCCCGCCTCCTGTGAGCCGTGCTCCACTTGCGACCAGAGACGTCCTGACGGCTTTGGGGTCTGTTCAGCATGAACTCGAGCTTTATGCCGGAATGAATCAAAAATCAAGGTCAAGATAGCAAGTGACCAGATTCTGCTAGTTGAGGGCTGGATCCGCGAGCCACTGTGACGGACAATCCTACTTGTGCTAGGTCAACTGTGCTAGGTCAACGACAATCTTTGTGTTCACTGCTCCGGTTCCTTATCTTACATCGGTGCTTTGAAGCTCTGACTCCTATGAATCACTCTGGTCTCCGCACAGCCCTGTCGACCGTGTGGGCGCCTTTACCATTCTCATGGGTGCGCCCGCCATTATAGCGGTTGCCCTTGCGTCGCATTTTGACGCCAGGCGCTCGCCACGCTAAACCCAACTACAACAAACAAGCCGCGGCGGGTTTTTCCGTGTCAAATCACTAGATTTTGATAGGTATACCTTCTGGCAGATACCCGAGTAACTGAGTATCCAAGGTCTTGCATGTGGTGTCAAGAACCGAGAACGTTTCTTCTGTATCCTGCAGTAGCTTGCGTTGGATTACCTCTATATATATATATATATACTAGTGTACAGCACGGTGTATGGTGCATCAGTCGTGACATGTAATGCCTCTACGACTGAGCGCGAGCCAAGATAACCGATCGCCAACGTCGACTGAAGCACTTGACCTGAAGATCTTGATGTCTGAACCGAGGGCACTTCTCGGAACCCTCAAGAAACTCAATCTCCAAAGAGGGCACCCGAAAACCACTCGGCAATACTCAAAATACACGGCACGGAAAAGGCCTGCAAGGCCAACTCTAGTGCCACTGCTATATATAAGGCACACTCGAAAACCATATCTACTCCATATTGCTTTTAACAAAACTCTTGGAGCAGCAGCGGCTGCTGCTCATCCTCCTGCTACAGCTTCTGCTGCTACTCCTACTAGTGCCAGTAAACTCAGTACTGAAACCAGTACCAGGACCAGTACCTGTACCAGCACCAGTACCACCAGACTACCACTTCAACTACCATTACCACTGCTGCACTACTGCCACCACTACCGCTACTGCTAGTTTAAGAACTAGTACGACTAGTAACCAAGAAATACTACTACTGGTACTTGTACTAGTTCCAGTATGCCAGTATACTAGTTAGCAAGTACTATAGTTCTAGTGCTAGTACTAGTACTCGTGCTCCTGGCGTCGAGTAGTACTCACCCTGTGACTCCGACTCCACTACTGCTATGGCTCTATACGGCTACATGCCTACGCGCCGAGTATGTACGCCTGTACGCCTGCAGCTACAAGCCAATACGCCTCAGCAACAAAAACGAAATTAACACCACGATCTACTGCGCCTACGCCCGCACCTCCGCATCATCCTCCTCATCCTTGTACTCCTACCGCAATCGCTCCTGCTCCTGCTGCTGTTCCGATACTCCTACTCGCCGAATCACTCCGACCCATACTCTACTATGAATTACTGCTGCTACTACCTACTCCTGGTGCTACTGCTACTGCTGCTGCTGCTACTACTACTACTACTACTACTATTACTACTACTACTACTACTACTACTACTACTACTACTACTACTACTATTGCCACTGCCACTGCTCCTGCAGCTCCTGCTCCTTCTGCCGGTACTCCTCCTCCTCCTCCTGCTGCTGCCCGTGACGAATGTTGAACTCTGGCCCATTGGCCAACCCATGCTTAAAGCGGAGGGCACTCTCCAAGGGGCACCCGAAATGGTCGTGCCTCAGCACAAAGCAACTTGCAGACTGCCGTAAATTCGAAGTGCTACCTCACTTGCAGTCGCATCTGGTCCACCGCATAATCTGCCATGCTATTCGGGCACAGCACGAGACAGCCACCGGTCACGAATACCTACACAAGGAGAAAGCATGAACATTTGTGATTATGATGGAAGGCCTTCCGACTTAGCTCCTGACTAACCCAAAGTCAGCGATTTTCAAGCGCAATCGCTGGTCGATCAAGAGGTTCTGCCAAGACGAGAAGTGCATGTCAAGCTCTCCAGCTTTGTGCAAGACCAAAAACAACTTATCCTGCTACAACCCAACCCTAGACCTAGAATTGTTTCATATAGCGTAAACCGGAAACCATGAGCCAGCCCTAAACAGTTACAACCTAAAGCAAGCCTTGCGCCCAAAATAAACAAACACCGCCCGAGGCCTCCAGAATGCCTGCTCTTGCTCTGGGCTCGCGACCAAGTTGTCATAAAGATGATCGTACTAATGACAACTGCGTTAATGCCAAAAGTAATGTTTGTGCATGATAGCGAAAAGCTACTGATGATGGTGTCGACGATGGCCATACGCCAATCGTGACAACAGTGAGGATCAAGGCAAACATACATCAATGACATGAACGGTGGTCACAACCAGAATTGCAATGGCAATTGGCAATGCCAATGCTGCCAATGATCATGACAATGCTGAGAACATGATGCACATTTCCGTCACCTTTGTGTCACAGGCTGGGACCGGATAGGGGCGCGAACACATGCAAATTCACTGCTCCTGCCGCAGTTTCCCGCACTTGCCTATATATGCTGTGATGAAGTTGTTTGTTGTGCATGGGGTGGCTGTTTCGCGGGCGCACGAGTAAGACACCGAACCCAGCAAGCATTGAATCAGACCCTATGCCACGAGTCCGGGGCAAAACGTTCCCACACCCAAGCCTTAAACTAACCTTATCCTGCCAAGGTTTTTGACTCATGTGAGAAATGACCTGGCGGAACTGCGGGCTTCGAGTACTTCGGGCCTAGCATTCAGCTTCCGAAGCAATGGCCTTAACGGCGCGCTTCTAATTCGAAAACTTGCTGCCCCATCTAGACAGACATAACCTCGCTGAGGCCCAGAGTTTCACACAAAATCCCGCGACAAGCGCTCGCGGACACTGACTATGGTGACTGAAGCTCCCTTATGTGGTTTACTTTGCTTCGCCAGACTTGGACTCGAGGACCAACCGTAACGATCAACCCTGACTGTGTAGAGACCAACTTTCGGATCGGACTGAAGGAGATTCGCGCCTGAGGCTTGAGATCACGATGCAGAATTCTGCTTGCATGGCAAAATTCCACTCCACGCAGGAGCTGCCACCTGACCCATGTCTTGCACGTTCCACATGTTTTGCTGAAAATCTGCCGAAGTATCTCGAGTAGATACAGTGTGGGAAGATTTGCATAGGCTTAGACAGCGCAGCTGGCAATAACTGCTGACTGATGGCTCCTAGACCTCCCGAATCCAGTGCTTCGAGTACGATACATACCATACTCTGGTCACAAGTTGGCGGGCGGAAAAACGGGAGCACGCAACGACTTTTGCGACTCAGAACGCACAAACGAACAGTCTCGAACATGCGACAAAACAGTGGTGGGTATCCACGCTACAATGGTTGCAGTGACGTCATCCTCAGGCCTGGCAACGTGTACTTGCAACACTGTCTCTGCGGAACGCCCAGATGATGCAGATCATTGAAAACCGTTGACGATTGCAGGCTGGCCACGCAAATTTCTTGACCATCGCTGGGCTTAGCGGACCCTCCAAGGCGCGCATGTACCTCGCAACTTGCGGGCATAACCCCGACAAAGCCGACTGAGAAAAACGGGCGTTGCAGGGCAAACGTGCGATTTGGAGTTACCATGTGACATGGCCTACCAGGTCGCTGGCATGACACAGGCCAAAACAAGACTTACGGGACATCTGTGGACTGTGAATGCAAAAGAAGGCCGCCATCAAAAAAGCAAGAGCAAGGAACGTCCTTCAAATCTCCTATTGCTGAGCCTTTGCTGGTTTTGTTACCTTCCAGAGGTCTGAATCTAGGCTTCATGCCGGCATGTAACGGCCACCTCGTTTACCCGAAAATCCAGCATCTTCATGTAATGCTTGAAGAGATTGTAGTATATTATATGCTCTAAATACTATAGCTTTGTGAAGTACAGTACAGAGGGTATGATTAGTCATAACATTCCGTTTTATGCAAAAACGTACTGGGATTTTCGACAGTACGTTTCTTTGTAGTATACTCTTAGGTTACGTTGCCATGTATTGTATTACGAAATGCTATAGTATATCCTTTGTTCACTATGTTCTTTCTGTTCTGATCTACTATGTTCTATTTGTTGTTATCCGTTATTTGGCATGACATGGTACGATGTTTGAGATGTTACATTATAGATTGTTAGATTAGATGAGAGGCTAGATTAGACCAGAGTAGACTCGATGAATGTATACTGTACTATATAAGATGGTATATATATATATATACATGTATACATACACGCACTCTAATGCATTACGATGTTCATATTTATGTGTTGCATTGATCTATACCGTGTTATGTCAAACTGTACTAATATTTTCATAGACCGTATTATATATCGACATACTGTATTATGGTGTGTTAGGCGATGTTATATTCTATCAAACTATATCAGTTTGAATGCTATTCTATTCTGGTCTGTTTCTTTCGTGTATCTATCTCTGTATATATATATATATATATGTGTGTGTGTACATACATACATAGACGATCGAATTACACCTTGTTTGTATACTTACATGCGTGTATATGTTGTCGCATCTCTATATCTCTCTCACTATTTAATTAGTCAATATTATATATGCGTCTATCAACAAAAACAACAAACAACCAAACAGATGAACACACACGTCTACATACATACATACATACATACATACATACATACATACATACATACATACATACATTCAGACAGACAGACAGACAGACAGACAGACAGACAGACACACACACACACACACAGGCCCGCCCATTTTATGTCCTGCTGCCCCTTCACTTCCCCCTTTGCAACGTGATCTTGAGCGCTGCCGTGCACCTTTGCAGCAGTCTCCTCGTTGCTCCCAAATTAAGCTCGAAAGGTCGCGGGCCCAAACTAGAGCTTCGACCCTAGTGAAGCAGTGGCTCTGTCTGGCCGACTCCAGCCCGCGCTGGGGTGGGCACAGCCAGACATCTGGGCTTCCTGGGCGGCTTTGTCACGTTTAAAAGACTTTGCTCAACAAGACTGCTTTTGGCCCCTATATGCCTATATGCATGCCCTATGCTTTCTGAAAAGCAAAGCCCGAACCTCATCATGATCGTGCTCGCCTTGGCGCTGGGCCTTCGCCCGTTGCTGCTATTGCTTACTGTTGCTGCTGCTTGTGGCACGCAAAACCCGTCCAAAGCCCAGTAGTGCCGGTCGGTACGGCTGGGTCGCCTAGGCATCGGCTAAGGCTTTGCACCGACCCACCGGAAATGTGATGGGCCGAGTCTCTTGAACTGTGCTCGCGCACCCGGGCCCAGCAAAGTCAATCCGCCATCCTCGGTCTGAAGATGGCCACTTTAAAATATTGCCTTAAGTCGTTCTGATCACTACCGAGGTGACAGAATCAGAAGCCATAACCACAAGACATGCCGCTCTCTGGCCCGGCCCTAGTTGCATCCCAGATTTGGCACATTCGGCCGCTGTAGTCCCTATGGGCACCTTGCGTTTTCAGTCACATAGCCTCCAACCTGCTGTGCAATCTCAAAGTTTTTGCTGAACACATCTTGACACGCAGAAGAACCAGCTGCCCCTGCCAATCAGTCGAAAGGCCTCAGGAGCTGGACCGGGATGCTCCAGCGCCCGTGGCGGTCTGAATGCCGATCGAGCCTCCGGAAGGCAAGCGGGCTGTCAGGCTAACGTGACACACGCAAGGCATTCTCTACACAAGAATCAGGAACCCGATTCCATCCGATTACCTTCTCAGTGATGCAGGGCTAGTTCGAAGGCGAGCTTTGCAGTTGTCTGGGTCATGTTGTGGCTCGGCTTGGTGCCAAAGTCCACAACATCTTCAGGACAGTCCAAAGTCCAAGGGCCTGTGGGCCCAGGAGCGGTGCTTCCGAGAGCAACGCAGCAGGCTCTGCATCAGGCGGCTGGATGGGGACAGCCGTCGGCAATGCACGCGCCTCCTCGAAAGATAGGTTGGAGGCAGGGGATGTGCTGGAAGCAAGAGCAACCAGGAGTACAAGAGTACCACTGGAAAGTGCGATAAGTCGTGCCACAGGAAAGCCTACAATGCCAAAGTGTACTTCGACGGTTCTGCATGTAATGGGCCCACTCATACAATGCAGAGGTATGATGTCGGTCGCAAAGCAATGGCCTAGAAAATTCTGCAGCATGGCTGCACCTGCATCTGCAGAGTCGCACTTCGTGTTACTACTAGGAGACCAACTTCCAAAGCTCCCAAAATGTACCATTCGTGAAGAGGCTCTGCTCGGACGATGGCTTGAGGCGGTCTGAAGGCTGATCGGGCTTGTGCGCCGAAGGCTCGGACCGGCACGACCTCAGGCGCGCGATCGCCTTTCTTCTTGTCTATGACGTATGAGTTGACACGACGAGTGTGGGACCTACGTCTGACATTCGGTGGTGCCCTGTGGCCTCTCGGAGTCAAGCCTGTGGGGACTACGACTTTGTGGCGTATTCAGGCCCACCTCGTCCACCACCATCCTTCGTGGCCCACAGTGCTGGGGCTCACAGTCGCCATCTTCCACGATTTCCACCACCTGCAGTACGACCGAAGCTGCCGATGGATCCATCAACGCACATCACAGACCCCAATACTCGCGGAGACAGCGATGCTGGTTCAAGCTGGTTTCTCCCAATGCCCTGCCGGCAGCTGAACAACTTGTCGCAAATCCCGCAAGTTAACGGGCATGAACCCTACGTGCGGCCTGCGACAGTCCCAGGCAGCACATCAATACCGAAACACAGACGTGGATGTAGCCATATTTTTGCCTGACTTCGTACTGGCAAATCCAACTTCGACTCTAGCCCATTAACTGGCCAAAGCACCTGATTATCCAAAGAAAGCAAATTCTCCCCTGCGGGCAGCTCCGGCTGCGTGTCCTCCACGAGCTCGGGCTCGAGGCCTTAGATCACAGATTATACCGTATATTAGCAGAGCAATCAGAGCCTATGAAATCAGAACAACCGCAAAGCGTCTCACATCACATTACTCTGCAATCCATATGTATGTATATCTGGACCTATACTCCCTGTGTCCGAGAATTTCAAGCTTTGTCATTCACACCCTGTACATATTAGCGACTAGAACCCGATGTTCTAAGAGGTTGTGGGTTTTAGCTTTCCGCAGTTGGCAGCATGCCGCTCCCACCACAGCGTCGCGCGTATTTCCGGGTCGCGACTTCCCAAATCGTGTTCCAGCGACAGTGCCGTGTACTTTGTGTAGGGTGTCTCCCGACGTCGTGGTCCCGCCTATGCCGCCAGACCTAGGTGGATTTGGGTGCCAATCGTGCTCCGCCACAGTAGGCTGTGCATTTTGGACTTGTGGGGCGGCCGGCCAGGGACCCGTAAGGGGTGCTCCTGCAATGGAGGGGCTCTTTCATCCCTTGTTTGGATCTACGCTGGCCAGATTGTTGTTGATGGTCGATGGCCTTTTGGCAGGGCCCAAGCTTGGAGATTCACCTAGCATTGCCAACCAGCCCCAGAGCAAGTATTGCACGGAAGGTGTCACAAGAAACAACTTCCAAAATGTTCATCTCTCTCCGAGTCGCAAATGACGGGAGTTGCATGTCCGCTTGCGGGCTCAGTCTCTCGAGACTTCGCGGGATACACCGTCAAGGCTGCAGCGGCGCAGGGGCTGCAGGCTTCACTGCTCTTCATGAAGTCCTGCGGTGCGTGCTATGCAATGCCACGTCTTCGCGTTCGGATTTGGCTATGATGGGCTGAACCGCCTGCAAGAGGAATAATCATTCTTGAAAGCCCTCTGCATACCGAGGTTTGAACTTCATCTTGTCTCCGGCGGAAGTCCGGAGATCTGGGCTGGATGTCGGCAGACAAGTCGCCCACGGAAAAACTGCGCTGACATCAAACTTCACCGTCTCAGTTAATAGCTAGATCGCGAAAACTTCTAACGATTCGAGTTGTCCGTGCACCCCATCGTTGTGTTTGGACAAGGCTGGCAAGCAACCACAAATAGCGTGACATTGCGTGGCCATGCGCGACAACAGGCAGCGGCTTAACGGCAGCTGAGTTGACCTGGTGGCATTGTTCCCGTGAAGGCCCCCCCGCCTTGGCTTTCCGAGCCTCCTGGATCTCCATAAACCCTAAACCCTAAACCCTAAACCCTAAAATACTGTATCTGTATGGCGCAGAGGAACGATGTGCGACCAGGGCCTTTTACTGTCAGGGAGACTCCAGGGAGACACCCTTAACTTTCCATCAAGCGTTGTGCCCGCACTGCGCGAAGGCTCGCCCGTCTTTCTCTGCCTGTCTTGTTGTCCTCGCCCTCGGGGTACGACATGAAATACGAGATGGCATGACAACGCAATCATGAACCACCTTCCCCAGCGCTTCCATGATAGTCGAATCTCGACTTTGTCGGTATTGCCGCCTGCTTCTTCTGCCGTTGGGGGGGCCAGAATCTGCTTGAGAACTATGCTTTGTTCCGCTGTATGAGTCTGTCTTACGATCCCTAGGGAATGCATGGAAATACTCGATTACTTGTCGCCACATCCAAGGCATGAAACCACAGCACATCAAGTTTACTGGTTTTTCCTCACGCATGTTTCGCAGGGTGGTCACCTGCTGTGTCTTGTGCCCGCAGCCAGAGATGTCCTCCGCAAGCCGATCCACAGCAGGTGTTGGCAGGGCTGGTGCCACTGGCGAGAGATCTGTTTGAAACCCAGGCATCTCCTTGGCCCAGAGGCTTGGATCCTGCTGGGGAGCTTTCCAAAAGAACAGGACAGGGCCAGTCTTTCTGCCCAAGCTCCGCGGCTGCTTGCCAAGGTCTTTTGCTCGGCGCCATCCTCACGCAAAGGGGGCCACCTCCAGGAATGGTGGGCAAGCCTTTCCTCGGTCCACATACTGGTTTGTTCATAGCGTCAGACCGAAATCGGGCTCTAAGTGAAGGCGAAGTCTCTTGAAGTCCAAATCCCCCGGCTCCAAGGACAGCAAGGCCCCAAGCATGGCGAGGTGATGTGAGCATGGAGTAAGGCTGAGTACGGGAAGGTGCCCCGGATCCCGAAAGCCTGCTTGGGACCCGGAGCTATGAGGGTCTTGTGTTATCGTTGTAGAAGAAATGCAAATCTCCACTAATGATCCTGTTACCTTCCTGATTGTGGCGCTTTTGCCGGAGCTCGGGCCCCTGATTCGGCCTCACAAAGACATCCGTCTCCAATGGCCAGTCCTTTTTTTGAGGCTTCTCGTGTCACTCGGCTACCGTGGTATATCTGTTGACCACATGCATGGAGTTCTGTGTCGAATGCCAGAACATTGCAACGAAACAGCTCAGCTTTGGAAGCAGCGAGCACTTCTTGAGGTCGTTCTCCACGTACTCGAAGACCAGCACCAACCTCTATGCAAAGCAGTGGCATCTGCCCCTTATGAGTCTCCGCATACCTCGAATGCGCCATTTCGTTCATCAAAATCAAGACCCCGGGCAACCTTCCGCCTGCTGGCTTCAAGAATTTGTCTACACCGTGTCTCTGCCGGCGGGGAAGCTTGTTGGGCTTGTAGAAGATATTGATGAGCCGCACGATGTTCTCGTGATCCCTGAGCTCCTTCGCTAGTTCAGCTTTCATTTAAGCTCGCCGGCACTCACCTAATTCTCAAGGAATCACTCCAAACGGGCGGAAATACACAGGTAGCAGGCAATCTACGGTCGATTCCGAGCACGTTGCTGGAATACGGCCCATGTGTCAGAGGCAGTTTCTATCAGGCCAGCTGATTATGGTATTCGACATGCTCCACAGGCACGATTCGTGGCCAAGTGCTGTTAATGAATGTTCCGGCTGCTACAAGGACACTTTGACATATAAAATACATATAAACCAACCGTTTAGCCTTTCGCGGAAGAGTCAAATACAGAGCCCCGTGCTGTGTACTCGATTTACCTGGACGCCCAGCCCGGGGATACCCTGCCTTCAGAAGAGCGATTTCGCGCAGGGCAGTGCCAGGCATTCCATCCTCCTTCAAGCGTTTAGGTAAATGCTCCACTTTCGGCTGTTGCTGCTCTTCAGCTCTCAAAGTTGATATAATTGAGACGGAGATGTGCTTCTCTGCAGAGGTTCGACATGCGTGAGTCTCCTTAGCAGGTTTGGGATCGTTGCAGTGCACAGTTGCACTCGGTGTTTTTGGTGACTTCTCTCTGAGCTTGCTGGTGGGCTCGGGCATGTCTTCCCATCTGTCAAAACACGAACACGTTCAAGAACCGTCATTGATAAGCATGGTCCCCGGTTTTTGGCTGGTTTGCTTGTTTCCGTTCTTTGGGCTTGTCACAAGGGCTGATTGCGTACGCATGTCTGAAGAGTCTGAACCCTGCATGGGGAATGCGAAACTTGGGCCAGTAAATAATAGATCTGACCCAGGACCGCACCCGTCGAATTGAACAGTCCGCGCATGACTCTGGAAGTGCTAACCTCTGCTTGAGCGGTGCAACAGTGCTTGCCAACGTTGGACTCTCATGGCCCAGACAGGAAATATAGAACGGGTCATTCCTTGGATTGCTGCTTCAAACCTGACGTGCTGCAGAAAGATTAGTTGAAGAATTTGAGCCACGCCGGATGGCGCAACCGCGAATCAAAAGCGAAACGCAAGGCCACACTGTCCGTGCTTTCGATCTTCATTTGCTTCATGGCCACCAGCTCGCCGGTGCGAATCGATCTCGCTTTGAAGACCTTTCAAAACTGAACTGCTGAGCCGAGTTTATTCCATCGAAAGTGGTTTTGCACCAGCTTCACGTAATGTGAGCCCAGTAGTTTCGCGACATCTTGCAGCGACGACTGCTATGTCACATGTCAGCTGTTCAATACTTCATCCAAGAACGAGTCCTGTATCATAGTATTCGTCGCGTTCGAAGTCGGAGTCGGAATAGGAGTCGTAGGAGTCGTAAACATGGCCCCTTGTTTGGCGATTCCGGTTCATCATGCACGTTAAACACACCCCTCATTTGGCGATTCCGCCTCGTGATACATGCTTAACATACCCCTGATTTGGCGTTTCCGGCTCACCATATGTCTTTGACACGCGCCCTCATGTGGTTCACCACATATCTTAAACACGCCGCCCCCTTATTTGGTGATTCCGGTTCAAGATATATCTTCAACACGCCCCCTCATGCCCATTTGGCGATAACGGTTCCTCACATATCTTAAACATGCCCCTCATTTGGCGATAACGGTTCATTACATATGTTAAACACGCTCCCTCATTTGCCGATTCCGGTTCATCCTATATCTTAAACACCCCCCCCCCCTTCATTTGGCGATATCGGTTCGTCATATATCTCAAACGCTGGCGGACTGACCTACTGTCCGACTGACTGACTGCCCGGCGCTTGGCGCATGGACCAACCGACCGACCGCCAGACTGACTGACAGACCGGCATGCTCGCAGGCCGACTGGCGCACCGACTGACTGACTGACTCACTGGCGGGCTCGCGGATCCACGGACGACTGACCGACTGACTGACTCGGCGCTTGAAGCCATTCAGGCGAAAACCAAAAAAACACACCCCAAAAGAAGAAGAAGTAGTAGTAGTAGTAGTAGTAGTAGCAACAGCAACAGCAGTAGTAGTAGTAGTAGTAGTAGTAGTAGTGGTAGTAGTAGTTGTAGTATTTGTTGTTGTTGTTGTTGTTGTTGTTGTTGTTGTTGTTGTTGTTGTTGCTGTTGTTGTTGTTGTTGTACGAGTACGAGTACGAGTACGAGTACGAGTACGAGTACTAGTACTAGTACTAGTACTAGTACTAGTACTAGTACTTTAGTAGTAGTAGTAGTAGTAGTAGTAGTAGTAGCAGTAGCAGTAGTAGTAGCAGTAGCAGTAGCAGTAGCAGCAGCAGTAGTAGGAGTAGGAGTAGGAGTAGTAGTGGTAGTGGTAGTAGTAGTAGTAGTAGTAGTAGTGGTAGTGCGAGGATGGAAGATGGTCGTTGTTAGCATCCGCACGAATGCGAATGCCTCCTAGGTTAAGGGTCCATCGCCCTCGTTTGCCCCACTTCTTCTCCCCACTTAACTGTAGCTCAGGTCTGCATCGTGCCGACTTTGGCTCGTTTGCATGCTGCCAGCCTATCCATGCCCAAACCAAACTCCATCCGTTCAGGCGCAGCATCCATGGGCCAACCATGATA